TGATCTATTTTGGACTTTGAGCTTCAGCAGTGTGAGAAAAGACGAATGAAACTTTAATGAATCTCGAACTGAGCTTATACATTAATACTTATTTATATTTCCTTGTGTTTAAATTGGAACTTTTCCACCATTCGACTGAAACGTTCTTAGAGCAACACATCATCGGAACATTTGGTGAGTGTGTTTGTGATCCGATCAACAGATGAATGTAAAATCAAACTTGAGTTAGAAACCGGCTCCTTCACTCAGTGTGAACACATGAATCATCCTGAGAAGACGACGGCAGGAGAAACAAACTCCAAACATCATGTACACATTTATTTATTGTAACAAATCAACTGGTACACTTAATTTAACGTGAACAGGTTTCCAGTGGAACAGGAGAAACGCTGCAGACTCCACAGAAATCGTTTTTCTCTCCCATCTCAAAATGTTACGCCGAGACCCAAAATTAGACTTCAGTTTGTTTTTTTTTATAAAAAATGTACATTTCAAACTTTGTTGTGGCTGCCTGAAAAACAAGATCATGAAAATTTATTTAACAGAAGTCCAGAGTCGGTGTCAAAACCTGCGCTGCCCCACCACACCTCTTAAACTGTGCATAATTCACCGTCTGACCAACATACATGAACATCCCAAAAAACATTTACAACAGTTGGAAAGAAACAAGCTGGTGCGTTCGATCAGTTCCATTAGAACAATAAGTCACAAAGGAAAATGCAACTTCTAATAAGCCTCAGTCCTCCACCACTGGATATATTATAATATACATTTATATATAAAAGTGGCTAAGGATGCTATGATTGAGTTATCACTGCACCATGGCTTATTTTTATTGAACTCACAACTTCAACAGAAACTGTAATTTCCTATCTTACAGAAAAAATTGCTATTGTACGTATTTGAAATCTACGTAGGATGACGTGCAGAATGCTACAAATTTTTTTTATTCTTTTCCATGTCTTTGGGAGATGAATAGAAACCATGATCCCCGTTCACACCTGGTGTTTAACGTCAATCCTGAGAGATACGAGTCAACGGGGAGCGCTCCGAGATCGTCCGTTCACACCTTAATGTGTCTCTGCGACCACGTGAGGTCACTTCCTGCTCAAGATGCAAATAAACATGTACATTATTTGTGTTAGCTAAGACCGTCTGTTGATTTTACCGAGTCCGGGTTTCCAGATGTGTCCGTCAACGTGTTTGTGTGTTTGAGAAAACATCAGAAATCATGTTGATGTTGTGCAACAATTCAACGTCTGGTCACCAAGTGAACGTGAGTGAACCAGAACTCGTCAGCGTTCACGATGTGGTTTGAGAGATCTCGCTACGCATCGACGTCGAGTGGGTTCACACCTGAACTCGGAGCTTAGCACACGATCAGATCTGTCAGGATGGATGTACGTGCCGGGTGTGAACAGGTTCAATGACAGAGCCACCCCGCTGCGACCCGTGTAGACCTGCCGTGTTCAGACCTTCAGACATGATTATATGATGGACAGGTCGTGGCTGCGGAGGAAGAGGACGGACAGCCTGACAACACACAGCAAAGAAAAAAAAGAGGCTGCTTGGTTTTTTTTGTTGTTTGTTTTTTTACAAACCCCCCCCCCCCCCCAAAACAAAAGAGTTTGTTCCAACGGGTTAGAGGATGATCACAGACGGAGGGAAAGAGTCGAAAAGCTGTTAGAAACGTTTAATCGTCATCGCCATCGTCCTGAAATTAAGAGGAAGAGCAATTAGTCGCAGCGACCTCTAGAGGACAAGAAGTTGTGTGACGTGTTTCAGAAGCTGTTCTTACCTCTCCATCTTCTCCATCACCATCTTCATCCTCATCTTCACCTTCCTCCTCCTCCCCCTCGTCAATGTCTTCCAGACCCTCTTCATCGTCGTCATCATCGCCGTCACCTTCCTCGTCTTCCATGTCCGGGACCTTGGGAACATTAAAAGTTAAAATCTGATTCTGCCCATCATCACCACGTCGACAGTTAACTACGACCCTGCTGCCTCGGAGCCTCTGAGCCTGAGCACAGATGTGTTCTGTGTCCGAACGCCTCATGAAAGAGAAGCGATGATCCTACCAGGTAGTACTGCAGAGGGTTCGGCCAGATGTCGTCCTTGATCACTTCTCCCAGCTCATCGGCGCCGGCGTCCGAGTGGTCGGTGAACCAGGTGAAGAAGCTCTCTGGCTCCTCGGGCTGCCTTTTCTTTCCCGCTTTGTTTGGCGTCTGACCTGCACGCTTCGTCAGGTCCTGAGGGAGAAGACGTGTTCGTTACGACTGGAAGTTATGAAGCTATCGAGGAAAAGACAATAGAAATCGAACCATTGTTGCTCAGACACAACTGAAGAAAAGCTCAAGTACACACGTCTGTTCGAACGATCACAAATAAAAACCACAACATTTCACACGTTCCTTCTTGTGGCAGAAAGTTGAGGCCCCTGTCCTCATCATGTCGTACGCTCATGATGACGTCGCTACGCTTCAAAACACTAGAGATTAAAAACATCCTCGTATAATTATGAACAGAAAAACACAAACCAACCTTTCCAGCTTTCCATTTAATTTCAGATGACTTGGAAACGGGGTCTCCGCTCTCGTTCACGTTAAACTCTTTGGAGAGGGCTTTGTTCTCGAAGTACGGGTTCTCATCGAAATACTGCAGGAAAATACAAAACATTTCTGTGTCACACCTGCAGCAGAACGCGAGCGGTCAGACACAGACACACAGTGAACACGACAAACTCACAAAATCTATTCTGTATCCAGACTTTATGTCCTCAAACTCGGTGACCTCCACCCTCGACAGGTAGTGAAGCGCTTCCTCGTCCTCCTCGCCGAGAAGAGCTGAAACTACACGTCACAAAATACACAGCAACTTACTTTACACTTCAAATCATAAAGCAGATCAATAAATACACTGACCACAAGTACACACGACAAATAAATAACACTAAACAACGGTTTACCTTGTGGGTGGTTGACGAATGTTGTGACCCAGAAGTTGGGGATTTTGGCTATGAGCTCTGATCGCTTCTGAAAGTATGGCTGGCGTAGTTTGTTGAATTGCTGCTCTACTTTTAAAATTTCTTCACTAGCCTGTTCGTTCAGTCTGCAAAGAGATAAACACAATGAGAAAACAGCCCCACACACACAGACAGACAGACACACACACACTCACAGACAGACAGACACACACACACTTGTCATTACCAATAAAAAATGGAACTGAACTAACTCACCTGTCAATTTCATTCTGAACTTCATCGATGTGTTCGATCGCTTCCTGTTGCTCTTTTTCTGAAAGGAGAAGAAAACTTTTTTAATTTACGCTTTCAAAATAAAAGCTTCAGGACACATGTACACACTCAATACAACATATAGGGCTTCCCCACTTACTAATGTAACCATGGTTACTGTCAGCCGAGGGCTTACAACATTATACTCTACACAATAAATACTTTATTGATTCTACGTCTTCTACTACTTAGATATTTCACACTGAGAACAACAGAATTTAATGTCTATTCAGATTCTGATATGAAAACATTTTACAGAATAATCCATC